CCTGTAATCCCAGCACTTTGGGAGGTCGAGGTGGGTGGAGCACAAGGTCAGGAGTTCGAGACCAGCCTGGCCAATATGGTGAAACCCCCGTGTCTACTGAAAATACAAAAAAGTTAGCCGGGCTTGGTGGCACATGCCTGTAATCCCAGCTAATCGGGAGGCTGAGGCAGGAGAATTGCTTGAACCCAGGAGGCGGAGGTTGCAGTAAGCCGAGATCGCGCCACTACACTCCAGCCTGGGTGACACAGCGAGACTCCGTCTCCAAAAAAAAAAAAAAAAAAAAAGCTTTTACCTTGGTATGCACAGAGTTTATTATTATACCTTTCCTAGGCTCTGGAAAAGTGCCAGAGCATGAGCAGTGCTGTGCAGAGTCGATCACGTGGCGCAATCTCTTTGGGCTTCTGAAAATAGTAGGTGACCAGGAGGACAAGACTAAGTGACTTCTCAATTTCTCTCAGCGCTAAAAAACAAAAAACAGAACCTGGAATTTCTCAGTGGTCTGACTCTGCTACAAACTCCGCAGGTCACTTCCCTCCCTCCTGACACCGCGGGGGCGGGGTGGGCGCTGTCCCTTTAAGTCCAGGCCCGGGCCAATCACAGTGAACAGAAGTTCTTCAAGGACCAAAGGAGGGAATTCAGCCTGAGAGGGAGGGCGGGGAAGGGGCGTGCCCTCTAGCCAATCGGAATCTCCCTAGAGAACAGTGACTCACGTGCAAAGCTCTGCAGACCACTGTCGGGAGCGTCGAGAGGCGGGGCGGCTCTCGCTGTGTGGCAGCGGCCCGGGCCAATGGGCATGTCGCCCGCGGCCTATAAGAGTCCGCTGGGCCTCGGGCTGCAGGCGCTAGGGTCGGTAAGTCGTCGCCGTCCGAGGTGTGCCCTGGCTTTGTCTCGCCGTCGCTGCTGCCCCGTCCCTGCCTCCGTGCCCCCCCCCGCCTTGGCCCCTGCCCAGCGGCTCTCCCTGTCCTCCTCCCCTTAACCACCCCCACGGTTTTTGCCGTCGGGGCTCGGGAGCCGGGCGGATGATGCCGTCGGAGAGCGGAGCTGAGCGCCGGGACCGGGCGGCTGCTCAGGTGGGAACGGCTGCGGCCACGGCGGTGGCCACGGCAGCCCCGGCAGGCGGCGGCCCCGACCCAGAGGCCTTGTCGGC